ACGAAAAATGCAAATCATCGATGTCACGAGAAGAAAATTCTTGAAAGAAAATTGAAATATTGATGATGAAATCCAGAATGAGATAAAAATTTAATGGGTTCTTGCTCAAAATACGATGAATAAAATGGTTTTAGGCGGTCGTTTGGTGCGGAGGAAAAAATCTCTTCAGCCGTATGTGAACATGGGATATAACAGAAATATGCATTGTGGCACAAAACACACATAAATTATAAATATTATTTCATATATGGATGCTCAAGAAAACCGGACATTTTCCAAAAAACAAAATCAGTCTGACGTTCTTCTTCGCTTTTGTCTATGCCTCTCTCTCTCTCTCTCTCTCTATCTGTAATGCTCCGTACAAACAGTCGCATATTATCTCATCAGAAGACGAGTATACAGATTTCTAAATGTAAATACATGCTCCCATTTTTTTCTTCAATAGTTCATATTTTTTTCTCGTCCCGGTGGTTGGTGTGCGTTGTTATGTGATTTTTTTTTTCTTCGTTCTTCTTCCTTTGCTTCTCAATCTCATTTATGTGCGCCCGTTCAATCATACAAAAGCATACAAATACACGATGTCGATGCAGCAGCAGAGAGTAAATGTTTGTGTGAATGTGAGTTGAGCAAGTGGTTGGTCGCTTGTTTGGTCGGATGAATGTGTGCGATTATACGCTCTCGTGTTCCATATGTTCATGATGCCAACCACATCGATCCTATTGTGTTTGGTGTTTGTGCAACCTTATCCATTTGGTTGGTGTGCTATATGACGGTGACCACGTTTGAAAAATAATAAGCACAAAACCTTTGGTCTCCGGTGTCATTTCTTCTGTTTGGTACTATATATTACACGAAAGATGAGTGGCTTTATATTTATATGAATGCTTCGAGGGTATTGTTACATTGCTGGACTTTAATGCGCATCGCATTTATGTCTACCAAACTCGATATGCACATACTTCTTGTTTGCCGTTACTGTTGGTGTCGTTGTCGTCGTTGATTTCTTTTTCTCTGTTCCCATGTCGTGGTATTGTGTCTTGTCGTTTCGTGTTCGTCTTCTTGCTGGTAAAGTGCCTCTCTCAGTCCATATGCTAGATGCTCTTGATAAGATCATAAGAGTATGACTCTAATAGTTGAGGAGTGAGCTGTAAGCTAAGGATATAATGTTCTATTCTATTATGTTCTTGCGCTATTGCCGGTATGTGTGTTTTTCCATCAATATCTCTCTCTCTCTCTCTCTCTCTCGCTCTTGCTCATGCACACACTCACTAGCTCCAATTCACCCTCAGCTTCAAACCGATTGTCAAGTTCTTGATCGGTAAAGTTCTCTCTCTAAGTGCGATTTCGAATAACTTTTTACCTCGACAAAATCTTTGGATTCAGTTTAGTTGTTCTTTTTCTCATTCTCTGTTTTGAAATGCAACGCTGACTGATTTAAATGGAAAACAATCACATTATCTGTGGCATTGGTTTTGTGTTGCTTTGTCCTGAACTTTTCCTAAATCATCTGGCGTTTTTTCATTTGCATTACCTTGTAGTAATCGATGTTAGACATACGTGCTACAAATATAAATCGACAATTTTAAATGCGATAAACTTTTTTTTATATATAGATTTATTTGTCCTCTTTCTCTTATGCACTCGCACACATGATTTAAATTTGACAAACCCCAAAACAAACACCAAAGGCGATATGTAACATCCAAATGCGAGTCGGCGGACTGAAGGGGGATCATGCAATCAATTTATTGAAGCTAAATGTTTTAATCCTGACGATGACATTTAAAACGATAAATTGTCACACATCACGGCCAACTGCAAAATGATGCAACATCAATTGTTTTGTTCCAGATTACTTCCACCGTTTTACCATTTTGGTTGGCCATTACCATAGCATGGTCATAGTATGGCAGCCATATATTGACGCATACAAATCCCATGAAAAGGTGAGACGTATAGAGCTTTTGCACAAAAAAAGTACGAATCCTTACAACGCAAAAGATATAAGAGAAAATATGTTTTGAAGAGTGTGTGTGCGTTTTTTTTACTTTGGCATATGAAAAGACTAAAATGGAAATATCATAAAAACACACTCCAATGCCAACGTACAGTTGAATATATTGTTTAGACGGTCAAGAGAGATATAGAATTGAAACCGAAATGCATATAAGAAAAAAAAAAAACTAAAATGGAAGAAGATTACGACGACGAAGAAGCGGTGACTTGTAGAAAAAAAAAATACGAGTAATGCTTTTTCTACGATGGTTTTTTGACATTGCCATTCCTTTGCATAAATGGATGATAGAAATATCCTCATGTTGCTTTATGAATTTGAATACGATAATGCTTTCTCTCATTGGTGTTTGTGCATTTGTGAACGTAGCATTCACACACAGACATTTTTAACATATATGCAATCCTTAAAATATAAACACGATCACAACCACTATAACAACGAAAGCGACAACGGCAACTACAATAAACTTGGTAAAAGAAATCATGAATCATAAAAGTTGAAAAAGCAAACCTACGGAACTCAAGAATATGGACGATTCATGACGACTTGTGTACCGGTTCTAACACTGGAAATGGAAATACATTTCGTCCAAATATGAATATTTGAGAATATTTGAGAACGATACCTCTTCTGTTCTGGTCGTCTTTTTCAATGTTAGTGTAGCATAACATGAATACGAATAAATAAAGCGAGAACGAGAGAGAATGAGTATGAATACAAACAGAAAAAAGACACAGAGAGCCAAAGATCAGAAAATAAGGCCAAACAAGTAAATGCCTGAAAAAATGAATCGAAACAACAACATTACGAATATAAATCCGAACAGAAAATATGGAATGTGTTAAAATTTAAAATCCCAAATGGAATTCAAAAGCAGATTTTGATCTTATATCTTTTCCGTTTTCTGTTTGTTTCTGGTGTTTTCTGTTAGTTTTTTTTTGTCAATATTTTGATTGTTTCTTTCACATTCGATACTTCATGCAAATCATGCATTGCACATGCTATGTCGCAAAATAGGGATGAAAAGCGATTTCGATAGTGGATTTCTGTTCAAGAAGTACAACCGAAGAAAAGGACAATATTGAGAGTAAAATTCAAAAATATGATATTTATATGGAATGCATGATGATTCTTGGATCATTTCCTCAACTCTCTGTTTTTTTCTTTTACTCTGTTTTTATTTCTCGCATTCTTTTCTGCATACAATAAAGTAAATGATTCGTATTCCAAATTGGTTTGATTTCAGTAACGGTTGGAACTATACGATTCGCGAAAGTGTTTCCCATGGATTGCAACAGAATATTGGGAAATGCATGATTAAGTTGCACAATGATACGGTGCAAACAAATTGTAAGTGGCCACAAATTCAAACACGAACATCAGCCCGGCTGAAAATTAACGGAACATGATATACTAATAACTTCAGTCGACAAACAATAAATTAAATCAATAACCTTCGACACACTTACTGATTATGATTGGTCGACGGCATTGGTTGGTATGTAAAATTTCATTCGAAATTTTCGCCAGTTGCTTTGTTTATCTGTAAACGCATAATGCATGGTAGCTCATTTAATTTCGAGTGGAAACCTATCAACCTGAATGGATCATTTTGATTTTCGCTATGAACAATATTTACCGATGTACATGTATACTCGTAACTGTGCATCTGTACATCATCGTCACCGTCATCTCCATAGTTAGCGCTTAGTGCAGTAGCACAATGGCGATGAAAATAATAACAACGTCAACGATAACGGCAACGACAACGGCATGAACATTCGATGAGAAATCAATTATGACACTCGGATCAATTTGGATGGCGTGTGGTGTGGCATTTCATATGAATGATTTACAGTTTATATGTGTGTTAGATGTTTTTTTATATGCGTGTGTTAGACGTTCGGGTGTGACATTGTATCCGTTCAATTTTGGCATATTGAAAATTATTCATATTAATTCGACGGTAATCAAGTTTCCTGTCGCCCGGCCTCTATGCCATACACATACACACATACACCATTCACTATAACATAGAAAATCAACAACAAATAATCACACTAAATAAACGACCAGAAATGTATCTTTTTCATGAAATTGCACAACATTGCATGAACGTAACACAGCGATGTCGCATGCACATAATGTTCAACTTCGATTTTGTTTGACACATTGACGCGGCCGCACTATAACCAAAATGACTATTTGAATGAATTAGAGACGCGTATCGAGGAATACGGGACACAAAATGCTATATGAAGTATTCATGTGTGTGTGTGTGTGTGTGTGTGTGTGTGTGTGTGTGTGTTTGTGTGGACTTTGTTGCGATGCAAATTGAAGTTGATCATGTAATGGCGATGAATGGCGATATTGGTCAGACGGGGGGTTCGATTCTTCGATTCTGAAGCCATACACGATACAGAAATGTAGACGCCAATGATTCAAAAGTAATCAACGTTTAGTGGCGTATATATCGTGAGTACACACAGAGAGAGTCTATTTGTCTCGTCACTTCACCGCAAATAGAAAACTAGAAAATCAAATTGTCTAAATTGTGTTTTAGATGTATGTTATGTTATTGGTCTGGCTGGTAAAAGAACGACAAACCATATCATCATTGTAAACATTCAATGCGAGCACAAATACATTGTGGCCGTATGGCTGAACATAACACTCCCGTTTCAAATCATTGAGGAAAGCAAAGCTTTCGTTCACAATATTTAGTTCGACATCAACTAAGCATCGTGCATTTAGTACTGAATTAAACCGTTCGACACTTCAACTCATTCAAACTAATCTCATATTGTATTGTATTGTATTGTATTCTAGTTTCGATATGTTTTAATTACATAGAGCCACCGACACAGAAAACGCCATTCTGGATTAAATGTAAAGTACAAAATTAAGATACAAATGCTTTTGCCTCGACACGATGTTTAATTTACAAAAAAAAAATGAAAATGAAAATTTAAACATAATTTACCTTAGCCAGTGTCGCTTGGTGATTGGTGTAATACAGCAAATGGCATCGTATTGATCGGCAATCCATACAATTAAAATGATATAGAACGCGGTTGTTGTGTCGTTGAAAAACTCCGACATAATTGCTTCCATTCCTAAAATATAAACAAAAAACAACATCATTACATTGTACGATACATATATATATATATTCTCATATTATCTTTCTCCCTTACAACGGCCAATTAAAATTACGAAGAATGAGAAAATGAGAGTGGGAGAGTTTGTACATTTTAATTAATTACAAATTAGCTGCTGAAGTTTTTTTTGTATTTCTTTCAAATCCCATCAACCAAAAATCGCATGTTTATTGACAGTGGATAAATTACACTTCGAACGTTCAAATAGAAATTGAATGACGTTTTTTTTTGCGGTTTCAAATCGTTTGCTTTTAAATGATGCCGATGAATATGTGTACGATGTTTAAAATTCAAATACCGAATGACATTGGTGATTGTGTGCCATCAGAATGAGCAATTATTCCATTTAATTGAAAAATGGAATTAGATTATGAAAAACAAGTGAAATTACAGCATGGGAAAAAATGTGAAAGTCTCCAATCACATTTCTTATATATTTTAGAACATTTTTTTTTCTCTTGCAATCTGTAGTTAATAGCTATTTGAATTCACGCTTCATGAACTTGATAAATTAAAAACGGGTCAAGCCGGGGTTGGGTGGAGAATGAGAGAATAGTACGGTTTTGCATTACAAATTCTTCGAACGTATCCTTTCTTTTTCATTCATACAGTCCATGGTTTTTTTTTGTCTTCTTCTTATTCTTTATCTTCATGAAAATTTAATCAAGTAAAATGTAAATGCATTTTATACGTTTCAACGCGTCCAGAGGATTTGTGTGTGTTTCGTCCGTTCGTTCGTTCGTTCAATATGTGCCAAGAAGTTAGAATGATAAACAAAGTCATGTATACCTCTCATCCTTGGTATCGCATACAGCACATAAAATCTGTTGCATGAAGTGTGTTTTAGCCAGTTTGTGAGTGTGGCAAAACTATTGAAATCGATTGTTATATTTATAGAGTCCCTGATGGGGGTAGCGTCAAATATCCAATTGAACTGAGATCCAAAAAGTTTTCGCACGAAAAAAAAAAAGTGTATATAACACATTGCCACAAACGGATATCATTTAATAAAGCCAAAAACATGGATTTCAAGTTTAGGCTATCATTTTCATCAATTCAATATGGTTAGCATTTCGGTGCGAGTGTATATTCGTGTGTTTTTGTTGGCGTTTATTTTATTCGACAATGTCATAGTTTTGTTTCGTTATTTAACGCTTGGCTCCTTTGTGATTAAATCCTTTAAAAGCAACAATCCATTTTGAAACATTCGGCGGTAAATGTTTTCTCGTGAGTATAAAAGCCAAAAACTCACAAAAATAATACAACGACCAAAAACCCAGACCGAGTTTATACACATACAAAACGACAGAGAGAATGATGGGCTGTAAGCATAAATGCAAGCTGCGTGCAACACATAACACGACCAAGAAAAATGTAATGATTTGAGAGCCGCAAATAAAAACACAACTTGAGTTTAAAGAGAGAGAGAGAGGGAGAGAGAGAGAGTCTCTCAGAGAGAGAGTCTCTCAGAGAGAGAGAAATTAAAAACAACGACACAGATGAAACAATAATAATGAATGAGTGAAAGTACAACAATGTTTTCGTTTCGTTGCAAACGATTGTTTCGAGAGCAAAAAACAACGACAACATATTAATGCGAATGACCTTTTCTTCACCACTGAGACTAAAGAGTTTACCCAACAATAATATAATAAATAATATATTATGTAAGGGTCAAATCTGGAAACCAAACTACCTCCAACAATAAACATCAAATCCGTTTGAAATGCTATATTTGTATTCAATTGCAAAGTTTGCTCAACAAAATCAAAGCCAAATACACACCCATTGCGATTTTCCTGATCGTTATTGCAAAAATGAACATACAAACACAGCGAAATACTTTACGACTAATCAAATCGAATGTATTCAATACATACTGTCATTGCAACAGGCACACACTTCTGTTTGATCTGCGTAATAGAATAAAAGTTACTATATTGATCATATGATTGTTATATCAATCAACTATCACAATTTATCACAATAATAATTACTATTGCCTTTCAAAACTCAACTGATTGGAATCCTATCTCTCTTTCTCTCTCTCTCACACACACGCACTGTCTTTTTCATTTTTTCTTCTTTCATATTCAATACAATTACCCTTAGGCAAATATTATGAGAGAATTCGGCAAGGCATTTTGGTAATTTTCAACAAAATTATTCTCAATTCAATTTCCCATTGAACATTGATAACGAAATCAACATACTCAGACACATATGTGTTTCAACGAATGCTTGAATGTTTTTTTTTTTTTTTTTTTGAAAATGAATGACACACATAGATTTGTAGTGTGTATTTATCGTAAAACTATTGATGCTTTTCATATTGGCTCCAAAATATGTTAATCAAATAATACTTATTAGAAAATCCATAGGCTTTTCATACAAAATGCTAATTCATTGAGCCAAAATGGTATATAAGTAATTAAAATCGCTTCAATAGAAAGGAGCTTATGTGTATCTCGATTCAGCACTGAATCGTGAAATTCACATACAAAATTCCACCCGAGTCACTTTATATAGAACGCACGGAAATTACATGGCTGTAGCTGCGATTCAGAGCGAGTCACGAGTCAGTTATTATAATTCCAAAGAATCGGATTGCATGAGTAAATGAGTAACATTTTAAGAAGAACTGTTGATTCGATTAATAACACAACAATTTTTTTTTTAATTCAAAGTTCAAATTGATTATTCTAATATTCATGAAATGAATAAAATTTAAAAAAAATATATATATATGATATTCGTTGAAAGAGTTAATAATATTAATAATAATAAAAAATATTTATTTAGCATTTCGACGTAAAAGGCGACTCGCAAAAATCTATAATTTACATGAGACTGTTGCGAGTCGGTTTACTCATAAGCCCCTAGTTTAATACTTTGTGTGTATTCTATTTCGACTTAATGAAGCGTCAACCAATACATAACAAATTGTAAGCAATTGAAACTACGAAAAAGAAGCAGAAATCTCATTGGTAAACTTGTAAATCAGCAAGAAATTTCAATGGAATATTTTATGTTCTAAACAAATTCATTTGAAATTTGAAATTCATTCAAATGTTGTCTTTTCTCAAATTGTTTGAAAAAAAAAATAACCAATGAATTTCGTGTGGAAATTAAAAAAAGTAATTTATCGTTTAGGATAAAAAGACCTTTAAAAATGAGTAACATTAAAAATACCCTAATTCAAAAGTTGATGGAATTTTTTAAAATGTCATCTGTGTAAAATACACCTTGTTCAGATTAAATTTTACGCAAAATAAGATTAATTTCCGTAGATTCACTTCATCGAATCAATCTATTTTATCAACAAAACTACTCCCTTTTGAGAAGCTGAGCTCGCACATTACTGGTATAGATAAAAACGAATCCGATCTGAGTTACATTAACCAGAGCGCACAGCGAATTGTGTTGCTATGATTTTCTAATGCTAATAGTTTTTTGATATGATTCCATCTGTCATGCTCTACGCTATGCACTGTATTCAATGATATTGTGTGGGGCTGGTATTAAAATGTTTATATTTTCTTAAATGTCTTGACAACGAAACACAAACTAAATCTCAACTAATCTAATGTGTAATTGATACACGATTTCCACGATTCAATGCTTAAGATAAGTTTAAGCAAAATGTATACTTTTGTTCATTTATGTACGGTTTCCTGGCAAAGCATTTCAATTATGTTGCATTGCAACAACGTTTCAACATATCACATAGTAATTGGCATCAAATGAATATATACATATTTCGATATTTCAGTGAAAAATACAATTTGGTTAATTAACAATCGAACTAGAAATAAGCGTGCAGAACATACGTAATGTGAGTTCGAGTTCGAGTTTATATAAATGTTTAATTAATAATCTCATGAATTCATTAATAACTATATTATATTATTGTTGGTATTTGGCATTTTCAGTGATGAACCAATGCTATAATTCGGAAAAATAACAACAAACAAATACATACGAAACAAGGCAATCCAATGCACAACAAGAGTACGAATGCAACGGATTTTTCACAGTCGGCGGTAAATAAACGTATAATTAAAGCCAATTTAAGTGATGTGATGGTGGTTTGATACATCAATGATTAATAGATAAATAGGATGGGAAGGCGTCAATGTAATACACCGTAATATAAAAAAACACACGCAAATTATATTCGCTAATATAATTTAGTTACAGTGTGAAAACACAGTAATATGATCATATTTGATTAATTTGAAGTTTTTGATCGAATTTTAGTCTGTAATCTGTAACCATGTGCTTGATTGCAATCGAATCGGTGCCAAATTGATTATTCTGAATTTGCATGCATTCATAAAAGGTCGTATTTGATTTCAAATACGCATGTAAATTGGATTCCACATTCACACAAAGGAACTGTAAAATGACACAAGAAAGTAAACAGATTGACATCGACCCAATCATATATGCACATAATGAGTAGCAAAGTAAGAGAGAAAACGAACACCATCGACTGCATATACGATGGCAAAAATGTTTGGAAAATAAAATTACAAATTGATTGCATAAAATAATGTTTATTTATTTTTATTGTCGATCCAATTTGGTGTGTTGTTCCAATTAAAGTAATGAAACGAAGGAAGGATGGAAATAAATTAGGGAATCATATCAAGTTTGTCACACTGCTTGGTATTATTGATCAATGCTCAGTATCGAATATCTACCATATTTTTTTTTGTCTCACACTGGCATTTTCCTCTCTTTTGGCATCATCCCCACGTCACCTCATCATACCATTACTACCATTATCGTCATCATTCGATGGCAATTGAAATTGGAGAGAATCGAGGCGCAAACAAATGAACTTCCTACTGTTAAACTACAAACGAATCCATATTGTTCAGAGCGCGAATCGTGTAGTTTCCCTTTTTGGTTTCATCGTGTGCACGACAATTTCGCAAAAAATGGTATTC